TGATAAATTAAATTTATTGAACACATTTTTTAATTTTCTAGCACTTTCATGAAGTTTAATTACTGTATAATTTTTTATCTGATAAACTATTATATAAATACTCTACTCAATGGAAAGTACACAATTCAACCGTATATTATTCTTCTATTAATCTAACCTCAACTCACCATAATACTCTACTATAAATAGAAAAATAGATAGAAATCTAGGTGGTGGCTTTGGAAAGAACACAAATGGGAAAAAAAAAATTTTTAAATACCTTTTCATTGAAAATTTGTGTCCCAAAGAAAAAGGATTATCATGTTCATCTTGGGCTTCACCAAACAAGTCAAAATGTGTCCTTAGGGAACTTTTGGTGGTAATCGAGAGGTTGAGGCATCGCACTGGAGGTTTAGACTCGAATGGGGGAGGGTAATTCCTCGATTTATGGTCTATTATTTCATCTTAATCATGTTGTTTGTTTTAAAGTTTTTAATAAAGTTTTTTATTTTTATTTTTGATTAGTTAAATATATTTAAAATTTTTGTGAAATTGTATAGTAGTTCCATTAGCTGAGGTTCTGTCTTGATTGGGAAAATAAATGTTAATGAAAATGTTTTTTTTTTAATTTTAATTTGCAAAATAAAGGAATCTATACACATGTGATTTTGTTATATAGTAATTTAGAAATAAAAATAAAAATAAAAATAAGACTAAATTATTATATACAGTAACAATTGCTAAAATTAACTGGTTCTAAGTTCTTCTAAGTGGGTGCTAGTAAAGTTGGGGAAAATAGCCTACACATCATGACAATAAGAGCAAAAGGATTAGAACAATTATAGCTCCTAAAATTAAAGGTAAAATGCAACTGAATTGAAGAAATAATTACCTTTTCCTCCAAGGGTGATGGTGTGTCGTATGTGACATTTGTACTTGCAAAAAATTTAATGAATCTCTCAAAATTTATGCAGTTCAATATTCGTAGTTGTTTTAAGGATGAGAATTCTACAGTATAATTTCCTGCGCAGAAGCTGACAAGGTTTTGAAGGTCCTCTATCACCAGAAAAGTCAATTGAGGAAAAGTCAAAAATTTTTTTTCTTCATCACCATTAGCCACAATAATCTCTCTCATCCTTTGGCATTTCTTTACTTGCAGGTGTCTAAGCTTCAACAATCCTGTTGCTATAGAAGATGTGAA